GGCACCGCAGTTCGGAGATTCCTGTTGTATTTGTTAAGTTACAGCGCGTGAATTCTTCAGTTTCTCCCGAAATACATGAAAGTAAGTGGCCGGTGAACTGGGAGAAGAATAGAGTAAACTTTATAGTTACTTACACTGTTTATCTGATATGAATAAAACACGTCGCCAAATATATTTGAATGGATTGTTATTGCTGCTTCCATAGACACCATTGTGTATTTTACAAACTATAAATTTATTGTTTTGCTATAAATCATATCTATTTAAATGTCTGAAACCTAAAATAAACATGTGGTTAAAAACACTGAATAGTTGTGATATATGACAAGCGCTGACTGAGCGCGTCCGTCTTTGAGTGTACATTCATTTAACCTGTTAAGCTTCAAGCCCATTTTTGAAAAATCCCCAGATATGGCATTCCCAAACTGAAACAGATACAGTTCATGAACCCTTTGTACTAAAAGCACAAGTAAGATCTCATTTGAAAGCTGACACCTGGAAGTTTATTGTAAATGTAGAATTAATTATTATCATAATGAAAAAAATAGTTATAAATAGCTTCAAAGTTTTGTAAAGTTATTATACATTTATTTTTATGAAACATCTTCATGAAAATAAAATTGAAGTTGGCATTGTAGCAATCTAGAAATGCACTGCAGCTAAAGCCACATGTCTGGCCATGTTATATTTAAAATTTGAAGATGATAAGTCTAAAACTCTGTATTTAGTTCAATGTTTTTCAAGATCATGTCATATGACTTTATTTTGATTAGACTGGTGTTTATTGTTTTCTTATAAGCATCTATTCAGTCTATTGCCTCTATTGTTTTGTGATGCAAAAACGAGCCCCATTCAGTCTCAGTCTCCCCTGCACATATTCACACCTCTCCAGCCAGTTTATTGCTCTAAATATGCTTTTCTTTTGTCTGCATTATAATCACTAACGACTAGCAATTCACACTGTTTCAATCCCTCATTTATTTTATAAAAGTTCTCACTTCACAGTGAAACTGTATCAAATGCCCTTTTTGAAAAACGAAACATTTCAGTAAGCATTCTTATTTAGAAAAAAATCATAAAAATTACACCGAAGTAAGGTAGCAGGTGCTCAGTACTAGCTAGCATGTTAGCTTAGCACACCATCAATACACGACAATTTATGAGAATAAAACTATGTTTGTTCTCCAAACTTACTTTATAGCGCAAGTCGAGTGTTTTAAATAACTTTCTGTAATCTGATTTGGCTTCAGATAAAAAAATCAGATAGAAAATATATTATTTTATTGTATTCTGCACAATTTGAAAGTCTATCTCGATTAGCATTACATTATACATATAATCAATTATTATGAAAATACCTGACATGACTCGAAGAACACAGGTAAATCAAATATCATTGCAATCATGTTTATTGTCTTCAAAACATCTTTATCTGCACTTTACAGCGATCTCGGATAGCTTTGTTGTGGCAGGACTTCCTGAATGTCACATGATTATGGCTCTTCTTCATGTGATCCATATATTATGGACTTCTGTTCAAACAGCGCCCTCACTTTCAGGATGAATTGATAACACAGTACAGAGTATACAGCGCTCAAAATGATTACATCGACGCATTTGGGTATAAATTCAATAAATATTATTCCTGTCTATAGAAGTCTAATGTAAAGCTATGAGAATCTATCAATATTTCTCCAAATCTGCACATGTTTGAGCTAAAAGCCCTGAGGGACGTTGTTTTGTCAAGCGCTGTCATGACGATCGCACGGGAGTTTTTTTCTGAATGAGACCGGCTGAGGCTCATAATTCATATTAAAGGTAACGACTCATTTTTTAATTTCATAACTCCTGACACAAATTAAGACATAACTGTCACTATAAGTTTCTCAGAATACAATAGTGGTCAAATACTGAATCTTGAGTCTTATATCTTTTTAATGATGTATAGTTTGTCAAGGTATAACATTAAATCTGATAGTATATTTGAACTAAATAAATAAAAAAACGCTTCAGTGCGCCGACGCTCTGGAGACGGTTAAGAGGTTAAAGTGTACCTATTCACACTATTTTTTCCCCGGCCTTAATTTGAGACCGGCCTTTATTTGTCCGCGTTGACCAGGCCCCCGGCCACTATCAGAGGCCCGGCGTTTATTTGAATACCGGTCTTTATTTGAGGAATTACGGTACACACATATATATATATATATATATATATATATATATATATATATATATACACACACATATTAACACATACGTATATACATACAGATTATTGTAAAGCATTACTGTTGGTTCTGACTGCAAAAGATTCTGACAAATTTCAGTTGATTGCATCAAATATTTCATTATTTTCTGTGTTTGTTTACTGTTGCTATTTCTGTCCAGTAATCAGCCCCATGATGTGATGTTTAATAACAGTCCACATGCGTTTCACTTAATCTGTGCACTTCATTTCATCCGCCAGACTCTCTGACACCGACAAGATAAACCGTGTTTTCAGACGGACCGGAGCAAATATTCATAACAATCACAATCATCCACTCAAGTGTCCTCGCAGCTGCCAGCGTTGCCATGGAAACCAGCATCCGTCTCCGTCTGGAGATCGTGTCTGGGATCCGTCAGAATGGTGAGGGTGATGGCCTTGTAACCATTTTACTTTTTGAAGAATTTCTTTGTTGCATTTATTAGTCGAAAAACAGCATTTTCACTGTAATAAGTTTTAGTTTGACCATTTAAAGACTATACATTAAAAACATCCCATATATTTATATATAGATGCATACAAACACACACATATATATATATATATAAATGTGTGTGTGTGTGTTTGTATGTATCTGGTATTATACCAGATATTATATGTATATGGTACACTTTAAATTCAAAAGTTCATTAGTTTTTTTTTATTAATTAATACTTTGATTCAGCAAGGACACATTAAATTGATCAAAAGTGAGAGTAATTTAATTTATCCACTGTATGAAATAAATGCCTAGGGTTGTGTTTGTTCTCTACACAGAGAGTTGAAAAGTAAGCAGATCTAGCCGTTTTTAAGGCCTGTCTGTACGCAGTAACGCTTTCCTTCCACGAAATACGAGATACCTCTAAATTAATAGTTTCTGTTACAACTTCGAGTTCTTCTAATCCATCTGGTAAATAACGACTATATTATGACTGTAAATAACGACTACGATTTTATCACTGTACAACGACTATCAGTTTTAGCTTGACTAATTAAAGATTCTGTATATAAAAAAACTCAATATTTGATTACTTGTATCATCTTGGAAACATATTGTAATAAATTAAAAATGTATTCTATTTTTTTTTTCTGTGTCCTTAATATCACTTTCCATCCAAGCATGCCAGAACAACAAGCATCTTTCTCCATTGACAGCCACTCAAAAGCAATTGCGTATTCTAATTAAATACATTTTTATGCAACATATTAACCTTAAAAAGTGACATTTTTATTTTTTTGCTTGTCCGCTTCAAATGTCACAGTTAGTAAAGGACGGATGCGTTATGAAGAGACTTCATGTGTGCAGGTTATTGCAATATTTTTATTACCTAGCAATCTTTGATCTCCGATTATTGGCTCAGTACACTTGAAATATGAAAATGTTTTGTGCATTTAATAGGTTATGCCATTTGATTATGCGTCACATTCATGAGGAAACAGACAAATCTACATCGTACCGTAATGAGAGACAACGTGACAAAGATCCGAAGCCAAAGATGCTTTTCATCGGCGATCTTCACTATTATGTGTTCTTTAAAATACAAAGAGTGTGTGTGTGTGTGTGTGTGTGTAAAAAACACAATATTATATATTTAAACATTATTTTAAATTTAAAATATTAATATAGTATATATAAACATGACACTATTTTATGTTTAAATATATAATGTAATACATATTTTAAAAATCTTATATCAAATTGTAATATATATATATATATATATATATATATATATATATATATATATATATATATATATATAACAATGTAATTTACTTTTTAAAATATATATTTAAAAAATATTAGGTTGTGAAATCTATATTAAACAATATTAATATTGTACAATTTGATATAATATTAATGTATGAATAATATTATATTTTTTTAAATATATTAAAATATATTTTAATATATATATAATATTACACTATAATCTATTTAAAAAATATGTTGAATGTTAAAATATTAATATATTTTATATACAGTATATAAAATATATTAATATTTTAACATCTAACGTATTTTAAAATATATTTATACATTAATATATCAAATTGTACAATATTAATATTTTTTAATAGATTTCACAATCTGATATTTTATATATATATATATATATATATATATATATATATATATATAATCTTACACTATATAATATACTTGTATATAAAAAATATTATCTAACATTTTAAAATACTTTATATAATGTATATACACTATATAAAATATATAAAGGATTTAAATTTTTTTAAATATGTATTATATATATATATATACATAATATAGTGTAAGAATATATAATATTATAAATATTTTATATATAATTTAGTGTAATATGTATTAAAAATCTTATATTAAATTGTAAAATAAATATATAAATATTACAATGTAATATGTTTTTTAAATATATATTTTTAAATTATACAAATTAATTTGTAATTTAAAATTTGATTATATTTCCTGACTTTTCTAACATTTTATAGTACATTATTTAATAACATATATTATAATATTTGATTTGTGGATGCAATATAACATGAACATTGATGTGTTTAGTGAGATTTTGATATCTGGTGTGTGTTTGTGTAGAAAGAGGAGAAGAGTGACAACTCGATTCATAAAAACTATCAAGATCCAAAAGACAATCATATAAAACAGTGTCTCGTATGAAACCTTTCAACAACAACAACACCAACATCTGCACTGCTGATCACGAACACATCAGATATTCACATTAATTCACTTAAAGTCCCCAGTGTTCGTCCCTGACTGAGACCTAGAGCTTCCTGGCGCCCTCGTGTCGGATGATCTTGTATGTGATCCAGTAAAACACGTTGAAGATCAGGAACACCATCGGGAAGGCGGCTCGGGAAACGGTGTCGATCCGCTTGGCTCGGTCCACGAACTTCTTCCGGTTGGGTTCCGAGTCCTTCGGGATTGACGGCTCCTGAATGGCGTTGGTCGCGGGGCTTTTGTTGTAGCCGGAGAAGTGCAGGCGGCCATCTTGTAATTCCTGCTCCTGTGTGATCAGGGATAAACAGGGAATTATGGGAATTATTATGTTATAAGGAATCATGTAGATCCAGCCGGTTATCTCAGAATAAACCCCTTCAGGTGTGTGTGTGTGTGTGTGATCTCAGAATAAACCCCTTCAGGTGTGTGTGTGTGTGTGTGATCTCAGAATAAACCCCTTCAGGTGTGTGTGTGTGTGTGTGTGTGTGTGTGTGTGTGATCTCAGAATAAACCCCTTCAGGTGTGTGTGTGTGTGTGTGTGTGTGTGTGATCTCAGAATAAACCCCTTCAGGTGTGTGTGTGTGTGTGTGTGTGTGTGTGTGTGATCTCAGAATAAACCCCTTCAGGTGTGTGTGTGTGTGTGTGATCTCAGAATAAACCCCTTCAGGTGTGTGTGTGTGTGTGTGTGTGTGTGTGTGATCTCAGAATAAACCCCTTCAGGTGTGTGTGTGTGTGTGTGTGTGTGTGTGATCTCAGAATAAACCCCTTCAGGTGTGTGTGTGTGTGTGTGTGTGTGTGTGTGTGATCTCAGAATAAACCCCTTCAGGTGTGTGTGTGTGTGTGTGTGTGATCTCAGAATAAACCCCTTCAGGTGTGTGTGTGTGTGTGTGTGATCTCAGAATAAACCCCTTCAGGTGTGTGTGTGTGTGTGTGTGTGTGTGTGTGTGTGTGTGTGTGTGTGTGATCTCAGAATAAACCCCTTCAGGTGTGTGTGTGTGTGTGTGTGTGTGTGTGTGATCTCAGAATAAACCCCCTTCAGGTGTGTATGTGTGTGTGTGATCTCAGAATAAACCCCTTCAGGTGTGTGTGTGTGTGTGATCTCAGAATAAACCCCTTCAGGTGTGTGTGTGTGTGTGTGTGTGTGTGTGATCTCAGAATAAACCCCTTCAGGTGTGTGTGTGTGTGTGTGATCTCAGAATAAACCCCTTCAGGTGTGTGTGTGTGTGTGTGTGTGTGTGTGTGATCTCAGAATAAACCCCTTCAGGTGTGTGTGTGTGTGTGTGTGTGTGTGTGTGTGTGTGTGATCTCAGAATAAACCCCTTCAGGTGTGTGTGTGTGATCTCAGAATAAACCCCTTCAGGTGTGTGTGTGTGTGTGTGTGATCTCAGAATAAACCCCTTCAGGTGTGTGTGTGTGTGTGTGATCTCAGAATAAACCCCTTCAGGTGTGTGTGTGTGTGTGATCTCAGAATAAACCCCCTTCAGGTGTGTGTGTGTGTGTGTGTGTGTGTGTGATCTCAGAATAAACCCCTTCAGGTGTGTGTGTGTGTGTGTGATCTCAGTATAAACCCCCTTCAGGTGTGTGTGTGTGTGTGTGTGTGTGTGTGTGTGTGTGTGTGTGTGTGTGTGATCTCAGAATAAACCCCTTCAGGTGTGTGTGTGTGTGTGTAATCTCAGAATAAACCCCTTCAGGTGTGTGTGTGTGTGTGTGTGATCTCAGAATAAACCCCCTTCAGGTGTGTGTGTGTGTGTGTGTGTGTGTGTAATCTCAGAATAAACCCCCTTCAGGTGTGTGTGTTCTTGTTTTTCTATCCCGGTGGGGACTTCAACCTGAACGCACACAGACTCGTGGGGACTCGTGTCACCGTGGGGACCTAAATAGAGGTCCCCACGGGCAAAGCCCCTCAGGCACCTCCCAAACAGTGTTTGGACACGCCCCATGTAGTTTTTTTTGAAGTCCTCATGAGGGCCATTTTCAAGACAAAAATCTGTGTTAGTGTATATCTAGGCGCCCCTGGTGGTCACACAGAGTATTGCCGTCCCCACAAGTCACATTGTTCCGGAAAAGTGCGGCACTCTCTAGCTCCCTATTGGGGGTATTGGTCAATAATAGAATTACAATTTGGCAATCTATTTTAAAAATGTGTCTTTTTACTAAAGTAAGATATGAATTAATAGGGTTTTTAATTATTTATATTTATACATTAGTATAATATTTAGTTATTTATATTACTTTATAAAATAAACTGAATTAAATAAATGTGCTGTTGGTGCACTAGAATGTAAATTCTGGAAAGACTGAGCCACAAACAGAGAATTTTTTTTTTTTTTTTAGCAAATTCTTTGTTTTATTTATCGTAAGGCATCAAATGATTAGAATATAACTGATCTGTTAAAAATGCCATTTATGTAATTTATCATGGATCTGTCTATATTCATATAGTCATTATTGATGACAATAGGAAAGAAATCTAAACGAGGTTAGCCAACTCCAGGTGTTTCAGTCTCGCTTCTGTGGGGACTGGTTTATGTGAGAGGATCATCTACAAAATCTACATGAATTAATTGTCAGTTTAGGTTAAAAACACTTCAAAGTGATTTTGTTAAAGTAATTAATACATTATTATATCATTACTTTAATATATTATTATCATTTAATTATAATCTAATTAAATCATGATCAGTAAATGATATACAGATTTTTCACTCTGGGCTACCCCTCTGACAGAGCCTTTCTGCATACATTAAACAGAATTCAAAGAATGTACTTTCAACAGATCACTAATAAACTTTTATGAAATAAACTCATATGAAATTAATAAATGAACAGGCCCTGACTATATACAATCTTGTTTCTAAAATTGGCAGCTGCTGTTTTTTTAATCTTCTGGCTTTCTTTTTAATATATCACTACATACAAATGAGATTCAACAGATTTGGTCATCTTTTTTAGTCATTCCTTTGCACAAATGGTGTAATATTTGATAACTACAAACATTCTACAAAGCTCTGTGCTCTCTCAAAAGCCTTAAAAGTGAACTACTAACACACTATTTTTATATAAATGTTTCATGACTTTATTATCTTGTAAATGCTACCCGCTAGGCTAACAGAGCAGCACATTATACCCTCATCATACATCATATCTCACAGTTTAGTAGCCATCCAATACCCTGTACCCTACAGATGCTGTGAGATAACAGAGAGACTGATATTGCTTTAGCAGGACCTGGAGAGAGCTCATTGTGGGAGAATGGGACCAGATACACCTCTTTTCATGAAGCTAATGGAAGTGAACAGTGCAGAGTGTGAGAGAAACAGATGCTGGATCAAAAGTTAAGAAATAATCTCCTGATCCAGCATCAGATGTGCTGCTAGTGAAGTAGAAGCGGGGCAATGATCACTTTCTAAAAACATGGCGAATGCCTGTGTAATTGCTGATGTAAGCATGTGCCAGCGTATGCACTCCAGTTCACAGTGTCACACCAGGAACAGCTAAAGGCCACAGTGGAGCACTGATCATCACCAATAGTCATGTTAGCAGAGCAGCTAATAGAGCAAGCATGGTATGAAGCAGAAATGCTATCAGCATCTGAGTGTGGTGGACCAGTACCTCTCAGAGCAGCTCCTAACACTAACCCTAACCTATCTATCAGCATCTGAGTGTGGTGGACCAGTACCTCTCAGAGCAGCTCCTAACACTAACCCTAACCTAACCCTAACCTGCAGCTCGTCTGGTCTTCAACGAGCCCAAAAGGGCCCACGTCACTCCTCTGCTCATCTCTCTGCACTGGCTACCACTCGCTGCTCGCATCAAGTTCAAGGCTTTGACGCTTGCATTGCTTACAGATTGACCACAGGTTCAGCTCCCTCCTACTTCCAGTCACTACTACAAGTCTACATCCCTACCAGAAGCCTACGATCGGTCAATGAGCGACGGCTCGTGGTACCATCACAGCGGGGCACAAAATCACTCTCCAGAACATTCTCATTCACGGTTCCATGCTGGTGGAATGATCTCCCCACCCTCATCCGGAATGCAGAATCCCTGACAACATTCAAAAGACAACTGAAAACTCATCTCTTCCGGGAGCACTTAACATAACTAAAAAAAAAAAAAAAAAAAAAAAAAAAAAAAAAAAAAAAATTCTTTCCTCTAAATCCTCGCTTGCCTGGCTTATGCTACTCCGAGCTATGTCTGAACTTTGTATTTTGAGCACTTCTTGCGTTGCTTTTGCCTCTTCACGATGACTCGCTTGGTTTAGTCCTCAGTTGTAAGTCGCTTTGGATAAAAGCGTCTGCTAAATGACTAAATGTAAATGTAAATGTAACCTATCTATCAGCATCTGAGTGTGGTGGACCAGTACCTCCCAGAGCAGCTCCTAACACTAACCCTAACCTATCTATCAGCACATTGACCTCTGTGGTTCCAAATGCTGGTGACAACAAGTGCCAAATCATTATGGCTACTCTGACAAGGTGAACTCAAATCCTGGAAATGATGAGCACTACAGTATATCATAATCATTAGTCTAACACATGCCAATGTATGGATGACGTAGGCTACATGTACGTGCATGTCCACAACACTTATTTCTGTTTAAGTGAGGTGTTGTATATAGTTTCATGTCATTTTGGGAGAATCTGAACCAGTAGCTAAGCCAGAAGGGTGTCCAGTGTGGAAAAACTGCATCATCATTTGTTGAATTATTTTTACCATGTGTTATTCTTACCCTAAATTAAATCATGTGCTAGTATTTGACAATTCATTTATATAGTTTGCAAATATAGTCTTTTCCCATTCTCCTCTAACTGGCGAACTGCTGTCTTGGTGAGTGCATTTACATTTATTAATTTAGCAGACACTTTTATCCAAAGCGACTTACAAATGAAATGAGGAATACAACAAGCAATTTGTCTGTAGCAAGAAAAGTGCTAGCAATACATGGTTTCAATCATTGTCTTGAACAGTACAAGCAAGGTGAGCAATTGTTGTGAAGATTGTTTATTTTAACAATAGTTAGGAGTATGCAGTTAAAGAGTTTCAGAATCAATATAGACAATTTCTAAGGACGGTAACATTAACAACAGCCCAACTCACTTTCTGTTTTGTACCTTTTGTAAACAAGCGGGGTCTTGTATCTATGACACCACAGTCTTGACATGTTTCACCCAGTTCAAATGCAAGAAACCATCCAAGAACAAAGAAGCATGGCGGGCCTTGTGTGGAGGCCTCATATCCAGAGTTTGGTCTCATGCCTCACTTCTTTCAAATCTATTTTATTTATTTTATCTCCTCGGCTCTCAGAGGGTAAACATAATATCTGTTCTGTTGATTACAAGGTCTTGTAATAGTTTATTTTTATTTTATGAATGTCAATCTCTCTGTGAGCTGTTTAATAGTTCCAAATTTGTTCATTCATTAATGTGTTGTTTTTTAATATTAAATATAATATAGGCCTAAATGTCTTTTTACATCTACACTCTGTCATTTTATTTGTACAAAAAAAAAACATAGGCTATCTGAATTTGAGCATAACATTTATTTATTTTATAACAGCATATAGCTTACACTATTTCAGAGCATATTATCAGAGCATATATGTCCATACATCATTTTATAAAGAAAACAAAAACCGCACAAGAAAAAAAAAAAGAAAAAAAAAGCGCGGGTAATATTAATATAGCCTTAGTTCGCCGAGTGAGTGTCAGTAATGGCTGATACATCACACAGAACCTGAGGCTTTAAGTCCCCACCGCGACTATCGCCTCCTCTCCCCGCCCCTCCCCCACCCCTGGACCTCTCACCTGCGAGTCACAGATGCTGCAGACTCGGCGCGGAGGAGACGGGATCGAGATGGCCGACGAAAAAGTAGGTTTTTGACTTTTTGTGCAAGGCTCTCAATATAATATGGTGCTGTTTATTTAACTTGCATATTGTTTGCAACCTATATATCGTATTATATATCATATATCGTAACGTAAAGGTCACGTCACTTTTCACCTTAAGCATAACCACAAAGCAGCTTTGGAGAAAGTATAGATTAATGTACCAAAATGACAGTAATGATCATAATAATATATCCATTAGGGCTTTAGATTCCTAAGAGTCTTAAGCTGTTTTAAGGCCACAGTTAGGATTGCATAGGTGACTGCATTCTAGCGGTAATCCGCTTTTAAACTTCGCCGAATTTAAAATGTTGTTGTCTTTATGTTATTTCTGAAAGACATATTTTGCGTCCCTGTTACTTCACCTAGATGTTTAGCTCAATTTTGGTAACATTAATTAAAGATTGCCAGGAGTTGCATCTGTAGCGGCCTACACGTGCAGCCATGTGAGTCTGAGGCCTGCAGGACTCATGACGTTTTATCACTCTAAACACCAATAATGTGATTCAACAAAGCAAGAGGGAAGTTTAATAAATTCAGAACAAGTTTTTTTCTACTTCTGTAATGCAGCTTTCAAGACCAGACAATAAATGGCATTTATTTTCAGTCAAAATGGTATGAAATTGTATTGGCTTATGTTACAATGTCAATTACTTTAATATATTGCCTAATTGTACCATTACAGTTTTAAATACAGTGCCATGTGATGTTAGACTATGATGTTTGACTGTCTATGACACTTGTGCTTGCAGGAAGATCAAACTAGGAATGGCAGCTCTGGATGCACAGGTGAGAATGAGAAGATCAAACAAAACACATTTTACTCATTTGTAGTATGTCAAATTCG